ATGACATTAAGGGTTTTATCAAACTCTTTMAATTCTTAAGCTGGATTTGGGGGAAAAGTGTGATTCTGATCTTTACTTTTTTTTTTATTTGTAAATTTAAAGAAACTTTTTTTTTTTTTTAATTAACTTGAATGTCTTACAGACATTTGCGTCTGTAAGACACAATTTGTGACTCAACACAATTTTGTTGAGTTTAAAATCACAAGGAAAAGGTTACCCAGTGAAGTTATGGACTCTCCATTCCTGGAAGAGTTCAAGACCAGGTTGGACAGGGCTTAGAGCAACCTGATCTAGTGGAAGGTGTCCCTGTTCATGGTAGGGGGTTGGAACTGGATGATCTTTAAGACCCGTTCCAACCCAAACCATCCCATGATTCTCTGATTCTATGAAAAGAAAGGGTCTGCTACAGACATCTATGTGGATTTTCTCGTTCAAAGCTATTTGAACAGAGCTGTTTTGCTCTGTAAATTTCTTTCAAAGATTATTTGGGGAGTAAAAAAATCTGACACACCCATAAATTTCTTCAGAAGAAAGACGCTTGTTGAAATACCTTTTTTTTTTAAAAAAAAAAAAAAAAAAAAAAAAAAAAAAAAAAAAAAAAAAAAAAGGGTTCTGTTGCCATAATATAATATCTTCACATGTGCAAATTTTGGGAGTTTAAAAGCAGAGAATTGGATTGATTATCCCAGGCCAGCTGAGAGCATCATATGGGAATAACAGACACCCTGGATGGGTAACTGAGATCATACAATAAGTGACAATAGTCACTAAGTCCAGAACATGTGCCTTCAGGACACTCTTCCCATGCTGACTCCTCTCCKGGGGCAAATATCAGGAACCTGGGGCCACTTGTCTCTGTAAGAAAGAGCAGTAAATTGCTTTGCAAATGCTAAAGTTGTAAGATTTCTGCACTCTGCCATTTAGCATGGAGCAGATGATAGGAGGAGCCTTATTCTCTGACAGGACGCGTCGTTTTCCGACAGATACACCCAGGACAATGTTTGAATTTTAAATCCTTGGGAGAATACCCTGGCAGGCATGGCAAACCTCGGGCAGGGCAGCACCCTTTTTCAGCACATCCATATGTAGCAGATACTTGACATTTCCCAGATGCTTTTCAAGGACAGCATAAATCATTCAGGAGAAAAAGCGCAGGAAATTTATGCTGGTGTTCGGCCGCTGCCCCGTAGCCACTTTTATTTATTCAGACCAAGGGGTTTGGGCTATTGGCTGAAGGAAACCAACAGGAAGAGCTGGTTATGACATTTTAGGGTATTTTAAATGCTCTTTCCAGGCCTGCCTGGGAAATGGTGAAGCCTGGTTGTTCAGTCAGCCTCAGTCCTTCCCTCTGAGGGCTCTTATGTGTTGTTGTGTGGAAGAATTAGAGCCCTGCTAAAATCAGATAGGAAGGTGAGTTCTATCTGCCTTTTTTTGGAAGCAATAACCACAGCTCCTGATGACTCACAGAGCTGAAAATTGTATTTTCTTGCACCAATCTAAGCCAGTGTGACCCATTTAGCCTGAGTTTAACATATGAGCACGATTATTTTATAAATCCTCTCGTGTGCAGAATTTATAACTCGATGTTTACATTGAAGTTTGCAAATGACTAACCCTGAGCCATTTCAAACTTTGCTCTGGAAGAATTGTCATAGCTTTCCTTCCCTTTAACATCCACAGTTCTGTCTGCACTAACCCTGAGGGTCTTTTGTTCGTGCAATGACACTCACTTAAAACTTTCTGAGTACATGGCAATTCGAATGGGCAAAATTCATTTTCACGCTGAAAGCAATTTTCCCTCCAAACTTGGCTTTTAATTAGGAAAGAAACCTTTATGCATTACCAAAATACTCCCTTTTTTCCTCTTCTTCTCTTTATTGTGCCTCTCAGTACGTTATATTGATTATTTTTAGCCAGAAGTTGTAGCGATAAAAGAGGGTTAAGCTTATTAAAGTGCTAAAAATAAAAGCATACAATGAAAACCTGAAGGGGCTCGTTTTGGTTACTGCCAAGGGGGAGCATTTAAAAATTCTCATTCACRAGCTCACTTTCCTGTCTTTCAAGTGGTTTAGCTAAAATTCTACCTTGTGAAACCAATCCATTGTTGCTGTTGTAAAGATTCGGGTCACGTGAGTGATTCCTTGAAAGATTCGAGCAAAAATCCCCACCAGTAATTTTCCATATAAGATTCCTGTTGGTCATTGGAAGGGCTTGACCTCAGGACACAGATAAATAGCTGGAGCTGAAAGAGGCCTCTTGGGGCCATCATTATTTCCATCTCTGTGTGATAAATGTGTCATAAAATCATATTAAATTGAATCTAAAACCTCRTTAGCTCTGTCACCTTCACTAGTTCTGCTGAAGATGTATTTTAGATGAAAAATTATAAATATTTTCCCAATTTCCTGATGTCTTTGGTTGCAACCACCATCTGCTTTGATGCAGCTCTGTCCCTTAGTTTACCAAAATGTCAATCCCCTTAGGATTTTTATTTTCTAGTTGTACAATAAATGTGTTGCCACAGTCTGAGGGCAGACAATTGTCATGGGATTGGATTTCTCTGAGAAATTCCAGACCCAGGGATGGATTCTCTCATCTRTTTGGGAACAAAGTCGCTGTCCCTKMATCCCAAAACCAAAGGGAAAGGAAAAGGCAGATCCTTCCAGCAGGTTTTTCATCCCACTGAGGATCCTGCCACCCTTGTCTCTCCATCCCCAAGTGAGTTGCCTTGACCAGGAGCCTGAAAGTGGCTGAGATGAAGCTGTGACCACCTCTAGACAAAGCAAAGACTCACTGAAACATCTGTCATTGACATATTCATCATTGACTTATTAACATCATTGACTTATTGCATTCTTCTTTGTGATTTGAGCCAAATTCTCTTTCCTCTCCTTGCTTCCCTGTGTTAATCAGCAGAAATGTCTGGTTAAATTGCTTTACATATTTATGTCTCATTATTACAGAGTTTTAGAGCTGGTTTGGTGTTTTTTTGTTTGTTTTAGCTTTTCCCCCACGCCTCAATATTGCAAATGGCTTCAAAAATAGAATTTAAACGGGAGGTTTACTTATTCCAAGGCTGATGTTCCCCCAMTGGGACAAAAAGGGAGCAGAAATAGGGCTCAACCATCCCTCTGTAACATCCCATCCGTGATACAGGACATGGAGCACAAATCCTCCTTCCTTGAGAAAGCCTGTGCTTGGAAAAAATGTAGAAGCTGTTTGCAAAAAAAAAAAAAACAGTGCCAAAGGTATGGTTCTCCCATTCCATGAAGCACTTAGGGGGTGTGCCCAGTGTTTAATTTTATCTAACAAAGGCAAATCTCCTCAGGCTTCCCTGCAGGCAGCGGAAAGCGTTGCGTTCCTCTGGAGGGCCTTTTAAGGGAACCAAATTAAGCTGCTTCTATGATTTCCTYCTTCCCCAGGAGAAGCACACACAGATTACTCTTGTTTTAGAAGGATCTATTTAATAAATTTCTCCTCTGTAGCTCCTCTCTGCCTAAATGATTCATTTTTGAGGCCAATCAACCTTTAAGAGATGTTGAGCAGTGAAGGATGTCTGCACTAAGATCCCAAAAAACATTATACATGAGCAAGTTCTGTTACCGTCATTAGGCACTTGGGGTTTTGCTCTTTTTTGTTTTTGTTTCTGTAGGGTTTTTTTGTACTTTTCTTTGCTTTTAAAAATTTATTTAGAGTTATTATTATTATTATTATAAGTGCATWATTATCTTAACAGGCTTTGACACTGTTTCAATTAAAAGTGGCAAAACCTGAATGAAATTTAGGTTTCCACAAATCGTCTGCAAACACTCATTTCTTTGTCCACCCCAAAGATGTCCAGGTTAATTCCTGTTCTTTCCTTTAGAACCAAAGAATAAATTACTGAATCTCTTGTGGCATGTCTTAATCCAACTCCTGATAGTATTAATTGAACAATTTCCATTGGTTTTATTAAGGATTAGAGAAATCCCTGGAGCCTTATTCTCCAATTCCTACCTGAGACTGAGCTCTCCTGATCATGTTCATGCACTCTGTGGTGTATTTTGTGCTCAAAACCACCCAAAAACAGGCTAAGAGCACATCCTCTTCCACTGTGGCCAGAAGTTATGGGCTGCACATCTCTTGGGGGACAAGATGGTCAAGAGTTCCAGGATTTCTGCTGGAAACTCAAACCTTTTCTTGCAGATTTCATACCAGAGATGCCTTGCTTGCTSAGCACAGTTAGGATCAGAGTTAATATTTGTTTTTGATGGAAGTGGGCACCGGCCAGTTGTGATGTGTAGCTGATAATTTTCTTTTCCAGTCTCATTTTGCTTCCTTGTGGTTCCTCCAGGCTTCCCCCAGTGCCAGACATAGCAATCTAGKGTGAAATTCTTCACCCTTCATTTTAGATTCTGGCAATTTGTCTCAATCTGAGCCATTTTACAGACCTCCACTGCAGCTCTGAAATGTGGTCCAGGAGCTTGGGTTGTGGTTTCTTAAATCTGATCAACTCCTGGCAAGTGGGATGAATTGCACAGCCTGGATTTGCTGTCTGTGATGTTGTCTGGGATKGTTTGATCAAGAACAGACACCTGGGGATGGTCAATAACCCACATGGACCCAGATGAATTTTATCCCTGAGCACTAATAATGAGATAATTTCAGGCGCCGTGTTCCTCCTATAATTTAACCCTAATCCAGTAAATTTATCAGTCTTGAGCTGCTTTCCTTTGAATTCCCTGTCACTCTTCCCATTGATTTYAGTGGGAATGGGATGAGAGGTAACCTCCATCCTGTCAAAGCCCACGTGGAGGGCTGTCAGTCATCCTGCCTCTGCCTGATGGGTTGGATATTCCTCAGAATTGGTGTTGGTCCTACATCCCTGCAGAACTACAAGTTACAAACAAGAAGCTGCTCATCTCTGTATGCCCATGAGTAAATTGCTGAATTGCTGTTGGTACAAAACCTTTGTTTTTGTTTTTTACCCTATAATTATCTTCTGTTATCTTAATTTGCAGATAGCATTGAAGCCAACATCGAGGCCTCTTCCTCTAACGTGGAATCAGCCAACGAGCAGCTGGCAAAAGCAAGTCAGCACCAGGTAAGTGGGACTGAAAAAACCCTGAAAAGGCTTTCAGAAATGCTATTTACAACAAACAAAACATCTGGCAGCTGTGAAGMACTGGGCACGTGGATTTGTGCTACCTGGAAAGATGGTAAAGCATATTCTAATGAAGAACTAAAGTTTTTTATATATAAAAATATATATATATCCATGATTAAATTAGGGTAGAACAGACAATTTGCTTTAGAGGAGTCATTAAGAGATCTGCATATTAAACAGACATTTCCCAGTAGGAAAGCCAGCAATTAGCTGCTGCTGTTCTTGGAAAGACACCATAAAAAGCACATCATTTAAGAGTATATGTGCTTGTATTTTGTGTGTTTCCTCATAATCAGGCAACAGTACTTCAGGAAAACAACTCAGTTGTCAAACAGCATGATGTGGTTGGTGAATAATGGCTCTGATGGTGGTGTTCAGCGCTTTTCAAAGGCAATTTGAGGAATTTTTTTGTGAATTGGTTTGTTTTTTTTTTTCATTGAAGCAAGAATAAAACACACGCAYGCACGCACACACAAATAAACATTAATCTTTTTGAAAACAGCTTTCCCAGAAAGAATTCTTAGATGGTATAATTAGCATTTTCTAGGGATGAAGGGGGGTGGGGGAATGAACAAAAAAAAAAATTGTTACCACTTGCATTGTGATTGACAGAACAAAACCTGCTAGTTTTCTTTGTTTCCTTGAGCATAAATTGGTGATTTTCAGGTATTTGGAGTTTTGACAAAATGTATCTGAGGTCCATGAGAGGACATGGTTAGCTGGTCTTTGGACAAAATGAATTCAGAAGCTCTGGGGCAAACCTCCAGACCAAAGGAGTAAAACTCACAGTCATTTTACTCTGATATAATGGGATGATGTGATTTTAAAATTATCTGCAGTTCATTTTCCCCTGAAACACATTGCCCCAATTTGGGGTAATAAGAATGAGTTTCACAGAACTTTGATATTGCAGAAAATAAGTGCGATCTTCAGCTACATTTTGGTTTTTAATGTATATATATTTAAGATAATGTGTGCCACCCTGCATGTAATCCTGCATTCGCTTTGGAAATAACTTGTTACGTACCACATGAAGTCTAAAATGAAACTTTAATACTTGACCTGACCGTAGAGCTGATTGCAAAGCTGCAAATGAGTTAATGATGACTTTGGCTAAGAAGGTCAAAGAGGAGTCAGGCAGAAAATGAATGCAGCACAGTCTGAAGCATCTGATTTCTCCAGCCAGCAGGAGCTGCTGAAATAGCCTGCTCAGACAGGAGGCCCTTTTTTTCCTCAAATATGTTCATCAAGACACAGATACAGCCAGCTTTAGTGAGGCAACCCCTGCTAAGGGCATAAATATGAACTGATTGGTGTATTTGAGAAAACAATCTGTCTTGGGCTTGAAATGAGCCATGCAGACAAATATCACTYAGAAAACTTTGTCTGCTAAAGAAAATGTGCAACCCAGATCATCTGTGGAGCACAGGGAACTATCCTGTACCCTATGGGAGAAACACATGTAAACACATTTCTTTCTCTCTCACCTCTTTCATGAGGATCCCTGGGAAGTCACCAGAAAAATGAGGAGACATTTTAGTCTCCTCTACTGCTGACCAAATCACATGTGATTCCCCATGTGTCATGTGCCACTAAATCTGCTCTTCTTGCATCCAAAGGGACACTGTCCCCATGAGGTGACAGGAAGGGTCCTGGCTCCACTGCCCCCAGTGCTACTGCAGGGAGGGGTGTTGGTGCCCCTTGAATACATATAGATGATTCAGTGTAAGAACAGGTCATCCTTCTGTGTGGTTGGCCTGGAAATATCTGGATGGGTTTGCTTTGGAAATATCTGGGGTGGGTTTTGGAGTGTGATCAGCCTGATGGTCCCCTGGGTGAACCTCTTTTAAGGGACCTGCCAGAGCTTTACCCATTCTAAATTCTGTCAGTGCTCATCTGGGCTGCTTGGGGATCAAAGGCACAGGCTGTTTCTGAAATCTTGCTGAGCACTTTTCCTCCTTTGGTTAAAGTGCTAATTCATGAGTATATTTGCTCATAACTTACGTTATAGTGTGACTATACAGTAAATGCAGCCTGGCTCACAAACATTTGTTATTTATTACTGTTTATATGTATATAAATGTGTGTGTGTGCACGTGCAGTATTTTTATTAATCTGTGTAATGTTTTTATTGGTCTATCAACAAACGTACACATAAATTGGGAAATCAGAAATGTCAACACTGRTGAAATATTCAAGTTTAAGACCTTCTGTAGAACTTAATGGAGGCATTTCTGTCAGGAATAATGATTAAGTGGCTGGTTATTTAACACAATGTTGACATGTAATCCCATGCAGTGATTCCAACAATAGGACTTGGAGAACCAGTCCCAACCTGTGCATTAACATAACAAAGCACCAGTAAATAGTTTTTCCTCAGCTATTACAAAATAAGACTTTTAGATTCCCTGAAATGGTAGAAATGTTTAAATAAATCTAAATATCTTCACGCTGAGCTCCTTTGTCTGCATTTTAAGTTTGGTGAGGTGCTCCTTCCTCTTGAGATGTGTGTGCTAACAGCAGTGTTTCGTTACTTTGAGTGAATTCTCATGTGCCCCATCTAAACCCTGAAAGATTTCATGGGAGCTGTCAGAGCTTTGAAATAAATATTTTTATATGTATGTATATATTAGCATTTTTTTCTTTCTTTTAAATTATAATTACAAAATAATTGTTTGTGCTTAAACTTATTTTTCCTACAAGTAGCAGTTAAGCTGGCCCTCTGCATTATCTGTGGGAACACACAGGGTCAAAATGCAATGAAAGCAGTAAGAGCTGAATATTGATACAAGAAGGAGAGGAATAGAGGTGATTTTTCCATATGAAAACTCTCTCTTGGTCACAGAAACATGAGAATTTTACTTTTTTATCCTGCTTTCAGTAGAAAATTTGAGTTTGAAAAATGACTTAGAGGTGAACAAATCCAGGAGGGAGAAGTCAGTAGAAGTTRTCTCCTGCACTGGTCTTGCTGCAGTGCCTTTCTTTGCAGTGAGGGTCTCATTTCTCYGGGGCCTCGAGCACAARTGATGACTCTTGCCATTAATACMAATGGYCCARATTTGCCTCTTGAAATTTCCTTGTYCCTGTCCCCAGAGAAAATGAATCATCCCACCCATCTCAAAACACCAATTTTAGCACAGGTCAAATTGCTCTCTGGAAGAGAGGGATTTATTGGACAAAATATGGATGTTTTAAAGTGTCTAAACTGCCTTTTGCATGACCCAGGAGGGGGAATTGCTTTCAGCACATGTGGTCTTGTCCCACAGGACATGTCTGCTCTGGTAGGTCTGGTGGCTAACTCTCTGGACATGCCTATTCTTTCCTTTGTCCATTAAATTCAGATTATATCAATTATACCACAAATATTTCAATGGAAAATTAATACCATCCTGTCTCTTAATTGGGGAAAAAAGAAAAAAAGGGATTATCTAGACACCCAACAGGCCTTTGGGATTAATTTAGATGGTCTGGACATCACATTAAAGGGATGGCTGCGTGGAGATGTGCACTTTGCTCACTTTGCTCAGAGCTTTCTGCAGATGGGTTAAGGTGGAGAAAAAGAAACCAACACARGCTCCACGGGTGTGCGTTAAACCAGTCACTCTTTTTTTTTATGCAAAGTTTGGCTTGAGTTCAGCTTGGTCTCTCTGACTGAAGGACTCTGTGTGCTGACTGCTGAAGCTAATTTGTTTTGGAAGAGCTGCTCGTGTTGCTCTGATTAATGCTGGTTKCTTTCCTTCCCCGTGTCCTCTGTGGAAGTCAAGCTAATTTGGATTCGCTGGCATTGGGAAGGCAAACAGCAGTGCAGTGACCCGCTTGTGTAGTCGAGGAACAAAGAGTATTTTTCCAGTAAAGAAGCAATTCCTGGGTCTGGCTTTTTCACAGCAGGGCACTTTGAAGGCTGGAGCTCTAAGAAAAAAAAAGCCTCATAAATCTGTGGCATTTGCAGAGATCTTATCGCCTGAGGATCACTGATAATGGGTTGTCTTCACCTTTCACACAAATAACTCATTGGTGTCTYAACAACAAAAGAAAATTTGAGTTTCAAAAATCACCTTCTCAGAGTCTTTGAAAATTTTTGGCATGGTAGCCCCTCAAAGCACCTGTTGCTTATAAATATTGTGATAATGAAGATCATCTCTTCCTCTTCACTATGGATATGCTCTAAGACCTTGTGTTGGCTGCCAATGAATAATTTTAAACTTAGTTTTATAATTAACAGCCACCTAGAACCGTGATAGGATGGGATTGCACCCTGACATGTGCAGCCGGCATCCAGCAACTGCAAAGCCACAGTGGAACAGCGTGGTTGGATTATCTTGATTCAAATGTGGCTGCTTAATCTGGACCCTTCACCTCAAGAAAAAMATTGGGGTGCTGGAGCATGTCCAGAGAAAGGCAATGGAGRKGGGGAAGGGTCTGGTTGAGAAGGGGCTGAAGGAGAATCTCTGCATGGAAAGGATTGTCAAAGATTGGAATGGGCTGTCCAGGGAGGTGGTGGAGTCACCATCCCTAGAGATGCTCAAGAAATGACTGAATGTGGCACTTGGGTGACAAGGTGGTCATCACTAAAAGGTTGAATTTGATGGGCTTAGAGGTCTTTACCCAGCTAAAATAACTCTGTARTTCTGTGATTCTGTGGTCTCCTAGGATTGGAAAARGCTGCATGCTCGTATGGCAGGTTTGTGACAGACAAATCTACCACAACCTCTAAAATGCAGCACAACGATCAACGTGGTGTGTGTTGCTGTGCCTGCCAACGCAGAAAACAGACCGAGCTTGCAGCTCCTTTGGAAAATTAGCACTTGGGAGTTTCATTTGGGGGATTGCAGAGTTCTTCTTTCTCCTGGCACAGTGAAAATAATGGAAGCTGAATAAAAGCTGCAGTAGGAACGCGGGGGTCTGTGAGGACTCCATTACCGAGTGAGTGTTTAATT